AGCAGTCACCGGCCACATCGACCTGATCAGTGTTTGATTGTTGTTTCTTGTTGCTTTTCTTCTTTTGTCTCTCCTCTATCCACTCACCCCAACCGGTCGAGGCAGAAGGCCGCCCACCAAGAGCCGGGGTCTGTCAGAGGTTTCTTCCGTTAAAGGGAGTTTTTCCTCCCCACTGTCGCCAAGTGCTTGCTCAAGGGGGGTTTGTTGGGTTTTCCCTATGTAATAATATTGATAACAGTAAGGTCTAGACCTTACTTTGTAAAGTGTCCTGAGATGACTTTTGTTGTGATTTGGCGCTACACAAATAAAATTTGATTTGATTTGATTTGATTCCAGATTTGACCGAATTGGAAGTGAAGCCCTCCCTGCAGAGGACCAGAAATGTGTTAAACTTGTTCTAACCTTGGATTAAAACCCACTGCTTTCACTCACAGTGTGTTGACCTAACCCACTGCTCAAGGACATGCAATCGAACATGTTTCTAATTTACAGTGGCTCAGTGTCCATGTGTGTCATTCCTCACATGTTCAATAACCCCTCCCTCTTCAGTGCATTTCAGAAGTGTCAATATTTTCACAAGAGCAAAAGGTTCAACAGCCGCTGGGAGCGAACAATGACCTCTCAGTGGTGAGGTGAGAATCAAAATAATGTGAGGCCTCACTTACTTCTTCTGAATTACATCTGGCTATTTAGTCTTCACCATATATTTCTTTTATAGAGTTTCACCATAACATTACTTATAAACTGGAAACAGCTTAAGTTCAAATGGCTAAAAACCTGCAGCTTCTCCTTGACAAACCACAGTGAAATGAAACTGATGGAAAAGCCACAGGACTTTTCAAGATGTGCAGAAATTCTGAATTTTGCCATTTTAAATGCTGCTCTGACCAGGCCATTGCCCATCTCACATTCTTCACAGGTCACTGACAATCTTCTTATATTGTGATTGTCATTAAAATGCTACACACACATTAAAAATAAAAAAGGGGTGTGTCCTACCTCTGTGACCGTGCACCGACGCTGAAGCCCATGTAGCTCTCCTGAGGGAGCGAGTCGTCCCCCAGCTCCCGCAGGTCCTGGGGGGCCAAGTATTTGTCTGTGTCTCCCGTCATTGCATCGTC